CTCTCTCTCTCTCTCTCTCTCTCTCTCTCTCTCTCTCTCTCTCTCTCTCTCTCTCTCTCTCTCTCTCTCTCTTACTCTTGACAAATTGAAATGAATCTTGCTGGAAAAAATCAGAACAGGAATAAAAAGGAGAGAATAATAGAAATAAACACGAATAAATAGAGACAGTCGGACGTTTTCAGACGAGAAGGAAAAAAAGAAAAAAGAAAATAGAAAATACAGAAGAGCAAGTTTTCATAAATAATAAACGCAGAGGGGAAAAAATCTGGTTATTATCTCTTCTTATCAATCCATTAATCAACCTCCCATTTTCTCTTTTTTACCCCCATGAACTTCTTCCCGTTTTCTCTTTCTTTCCCCATTAACTCTCCGTTTTTTCTCAGTTTCCCCATAAATACCGCCCCATTTTCTCTTCTTTTCCCCGGTAACTCCCCTCTTTTTCTCAATTTCCCCATAAATTCTGTCCCATTTTCTCTTCCTTTTCCCCCCATTAACTCTTCGCTATCTCCTCTTCCATTCCCCTAATGATTCCCACCCATTTTTTTTCTCCTTTTCTCCAATAATTAATCTATCTTTTCCCATTAACTACCCTTTTTATCTATCTTTCACCCATTAATTACCCATTTTATTATCTTTCCCCCATTAACTACCCATTCTTTCTCTATCTTTCCCCATTAACAACCCATTTTCCTCTCTTTTTCTCCATTAACAACCCATTTTCTCTCTTTTCCCCATTAACTACCCTTTTTTCTCATTTTTTCCATTAACAACCCATTTTTTCTTTATCTTTCCCCCATTAACTACCCATTCTTTCTCTATCTTTCCCCATTAACAACCCTTTTTCTCTCTTTTTCCCCATTAACAACCCACCTTCGCCCATTAACTACCCATTTTTTCTGTCTTTTCCCCCATTAACTACCCTTTCTTACATTTTCCCCATTTTTTCTCTATCTTCCCCCATTAACTACTCAATTTTTTTCGTTTTTCCCCATTAACAACCCATTCTCTCTCTTTTCCCCCATTAACTACCCAATTTTTTCCCCTCTCTTTTTCCCCCATTAACAACCCATTTTTTCTCTCTTTCCCAATTAACTACCCAATTTTTCCCTTTTTTCCCATTAACAACCCATTTTCTCTCTTTTCCCCCCAGATCTTCCCTCATAGGCTGCGACCTGAACCGCGCATGGGGAGAGGCCAACGAATGGGGACACCCGACGGTCCACGCGGCCAGGGAACTCATTAAGGAACTGGATCAGGCGCCGGTGAGTCATGAGTCAGTTTCGTTGAGTTAGTTTTGGTGAGTCAGTTTTGGTGAGTTAGTTTTGGTGAGTTGGTTTTGGTGAGTTAGTTTTGGTGAGTCAGTTTTGGTGAGTCAGTTTTGGTGAGTCAGTTTTGGTGAGTCAATTTTGGTGAGTCAGTTTTGTTGAGTTAGTTTTGGTGAGTCAGTTTTGGTGAGTTGGTTTTGGTGAGTTAGTTCTGGTGAGTTAGTTTCGTTAAGTTAGTTTCGTTGAGTCAGTTTCGTTGAG